TCTTGGGACCAACCCCACAGTACCAAGTATTCCTTTTGTCAAATGCTAATTTGTAGTTTAGATAATAGGTGTTATAAAGCTTCATGGGAGAGGATCGACATCCTGGTAGAAGTAGCCAAAGCCTAATTGGATTAACTATAAAGAAGTGAGTGGGGCATCTTAATTTTGTTCTTCCTCACTGTCATGTGTGATGCTCAAAAAAATATTTTAGAGTTTAAAAAGGAAATGATAAAAAACAAAGAAAGTAGGCTTTTAAAGTGTTTTGGTAACATTGAGTCTATAGATGCTTCAGGAAGAATTAAAACCAAACCAAGAGTAATTAAGATTGTTCCTTGGCACTAACATACAGGTGCTTACTGGTAGTATTTTTTCCCTTCTATTTTTTTTCTTTAATAACTTTTAAAGTTAACTTTTGTTGTTGAGACCTTTGTTGAACTTGGTATACATCCCAGACGACTCCTTACTGTTAATCTTAGTGCTGGCTCCCAAATGCTAGGATTACAGGCATGCACCATCATAGCTCGTTCTAGAATTGACCTTTTTAAATTGAATATTAGGTGTCCATAACAGTTGAATTTTGAGGGAGGCAGTATCAGGCTCCTCTTTATATAAAAAGACAATTTTTTGTCTTGATTTTGCATATCCTTATCTTTTGTGATGCAATTAGTGTATTTTAAGGAATTCTTTAACTTTTGGGGCTGGAGAGATGGCTCAGCAGTTAAAAGCACTGGCTGCTGTTGCAGAGGACCAGGGTTTGATTCCCAGCAACCACATGGCAGCTAACAACCATCTGTTACTCCAGTTCCAGGGAATCTGTGCCCTTTTCTGACCACCTTGGGCATTGCGCGACATGGGCACTGCACAACATGGGTGGCACTTACACATGCAGGCAACACACTCAGGCACATAAAACAGAAATAATAAAACATTTTTTTAAAAAGAGTTCTTTAACTTTTATACATCCAAATAGAGACCTCGTCTAGCCTTTTGAGTCATAAGCTGTTCCTACTCTCAGGCAGGTCATGGTTGATGCTTTATTGATACAGTCCTTCATTTCAAGGTCACAATAAAGATCAGGATAGAATAACAGGGAGCTAATAAATGGGAGGATTTTGCACTTTAGCCTTGATTGACTAAAGCTTGATATCTTTTTCAGCAGATACCTTATAAAAGACAAACAGAATCAGATTTTTTCTTATTTGTGTGTGTTTCTGTGTGATGTACCCCAGGCTGACCTTGAACTCATTTTGTAGCTGAGGATGCCCTTGAACTCCTGAGCTATCATTTTAAATGCCCAGCTTTTTTCTTAAATTAACAAATTCTTGCGGGGGGAGCTGTGCTAAGTGCATAATAATTGAACTAACTTGGTTTCTTATGGTTTTTGTTTTTATGCGTATGTATGTTGAGACAGGGTCTCACTGCATAGCCTAGAATGTGCTATGTAACCCTCTCTGAATTTGAACATGTAGTGTGATCTGCCTACCCCTGCCTCCTGAGTGCTAGGATTTCAGGCATATGCCACCATACCTGCTTAATTTTGCTTTATAACAATTAAATGAGAAATGATTGACTAAAATATAAAGCTAATTCTTACTATAAAATATGTCATCTCATAGCAGTGTATAACATACAAATTTTAAATAATATTTCATATTCAATATTTAATATTTTATGTTGTATATTTAACAGTATCTTATAATTGAAAAATAAAAACCTGTGTGCTCACTGTCTAGGTCAAGAAGTAAAATGCTGCCAGACTGGAGGCTCCTTTTGTACTCCTGTGTGCACCTGCTCCCCAGCCTCTGGAGGGAGTCAGTAGTCGAGAATCATCCCCTTGCTTCTCCTTATCATTTCAGAGGGGGTGGTTTTATTGTTCATGATACCCTTTTTGTATGGCAGACAAAAACGTTTCCTTATAAAGATAAAAAATGGGAAAATGCACGAAATATGCACTCCTATATTTAATACTATCATATGAAACCACACTATGTGTATTCTTTCACTGACACAAGATGAAGGATGTGAATTTATTTCATTCATTTCCATTTCCTGCTGTGTTGTATATGGATATACCACAACATATTCCCTCATTCTGTTGTTGATGGACATTTACCTTGTTGTCTGGTCATTACAAACAGTGCTGTGAACATTCTTGTTTTTATCTTATACATGTAGTTGTTTATAAAGTTGGGGAAAAATTGTTGTATATGGTGTGATAGTCAGTGGCAAACCCTTATCAGTTGTTTGCTTTGGTCCTATGGCTCACTCTAGCTTCATTTATTTTGTATGTTCATACCTTGTATATAGAGATGACAGATTTGGGATGGGAACAGGGTCTGGGGAAGATGCTCAGCAGAAACACGAGTAAAGCAGCTAAAGAGCCAGAATCTACAAAGAAATTCAAGGATCATCTTTGCCATCTTGTCTCCTGGCAGGACTGTACCTAAGGGAGAACAGTATTTCCTGCTGCTGCTGGGGATTGAAGCAGACCCTCACACATGCTAGACAGGCACTTCATCACTGAACTATCCTGAATACTCCCTCTCCTCTGCTTTTTAAAAATATGTGATGTTATAAAGTTAGCCAGGCTGCCCTTGAACTAACTCTGTAGCCCAGGTAGATTTTGGACTTGTGATTTTCCTGCCACATCCCAGGTAGCTGGGATTCCATGTCTGTGCCACCAGGCCAGGCCAGAGAATGATACTTCAAAAGGTAATACTAGACAATCTATAGTTTTCCTAGCAGTGTTTGGAGGTGGGCCTAGTGGAGATTAACAAGCCCGTATTAAAGAAAGCAAATCAAGATTCCGGGGAATAATGCCATGCATTGATTTGATTTTTCCAGCTCAGATATCTTTACTATAGGTAATAGATAAAGTAAGGTTTCATTTTGCTTCCCTGCTCCAGGTATCAAGAAGAAACAGGTCTACAGAGGGTAAACCTGGCCAATGTCAAACAATGAATTTGAGACAGAACCAGAACTAGTCCCCAGGCCTGCTAACTGCTAGACCTGAGTATTCAGTTACATACATCTCAGGGAACTAGGAGGGAGAGGTCTGCCTCCCACCTACCATAAACCACTTGGATGTTCATCCCAGAACATTTCCCACAAATCTTTGGTAATTGCTTACACCCCAAGGTTCTTTGTAGCTGGACTTTAACATTTTCCTTCTTTCAAGGAAATGGCTATTCTATCTTTGCTATCTCACCAAGACTGAACACATACTAAATGGTTTGTAAACATTTTCCCTGTGAAGATGCAATTGAATTACAAATTTGATGTTATTCTGTAAGGGTGAAGATGAGCATATGCCTTTGGACCCTACAAGACCCCAGAGAAATGCTCACAGTATCCACAAGGAGACATAAAAGGATGTTCATACATGGCCTTGGCGGTTTAATAAAATGAGTAAAACTACCTGAATGTTCATGATTAGGAGAGCATAATTTGGTGTGTTTATATAAGAGAATACAGGAGTGAAAGTAAATATAGCTACCTGTATTACCCTGCACACATCTAACAGATGATGTTGAATGATGAGGGAATTGCTAAGTGTATAGATGACCATTAATATACAGCATTAATTATATAAATATCAGGACAGGAAAGAAGAGGAATTGGGTAAAAAGTAAACAGAGGGCTCTGACTATATCTATCTTACTTCTGAAGTTTAATTGTGGGTAAACAGGGTGGTTTTATTGTTCATGATGCCTTTTTTTGTATGGCAAAAACCTTTCCTTATAAAGATTAAAAAAAAATAGGAAAAAGAAGTGACAAATAAACGGATTAGTTAATTAAAAAAAAAACCTATAAATCACCAGGCATGGTGGCACACACGTATAATGCAGCACTATGAGGCAGAGGGCAGAGGATTGATGCAAATTCAAGTCCAGCCTAGACTATGGAATGGAGCCAGGCCAGCCAGGGTACATGGTGAGCCCTGTCTCACAACCAAGCAAAGTAAAAAAATATATATACCCTAAATCTCAACCAAATGAAGCCTCATTCCCTTTTCTTTAGCGTCTATATTCTTATCTACCCCCTTACTATTTATAAACTATATTTATCTTAGAATTTATATGCACTGTAACTCACAATAGAAATTAAAGGGTCTGGCATGGTAGCACAGGTCTTTAATCCAAGCAGCCAGGAGGCAAGAGGATAGTGAGTTTGAGGTTAGCCTGAACTGTAAACAAGACCCTGTCAAATAATTATTTAACAGTTATTTAAGGAGAAATGTGCCAAATAAAACTGCACATTGGAAAGTAGGGAAAATATCTCCTTTGAAAATTACTATACAGAATGGGAGATGTAGCTTAGTTGAGAGTGTTTGTCTAGCATGCATGAAGCCCTGGATTCCATCCCCAGCACTACATGAACCAGGTGTGTTGCTGTACACCTATAATCCCATCCCTTGGAAGTAGAAGCAGGAAGATCAAGGTTTTCCTCAGCTACATAGAGAGTTCAAGGCCAGCCTGGACTATATGATATTATTTTTTTATTGTTTTTGCTATATAACTTGAATTTTCTTTCCTCAGTAACTTATAAATACTGGTAGCTCCTTGTATTTCAGAGCATAGCAGTGGTGGTGGGTGATTAGAATGTTCTTCCTGTCCATAACCAAAAATGAAAAAGACCTTGGTAATGTAGTGCTCCAATCTATGCATTCATTAGTCTCATATTTAAAAGTAAAACAAATGAATCATTTACAGTATTATTTTAAGAAACCTGAAAGTAAATAGTATCATCTCACTTTAGCATTTCCCTTCCTATTGTTTTAACTCAAGATTAAAAAGATAATATATAAAAACCTGAACATTATAAAAGTTTTATGCATTAAATATTGGGGTTTGGTTTTTTTAAAACCTTTTTTCCAAAAGAAGCTGCTTAACACTAAACAATATCCTCCTGGATATGAATGGTATTTTTGATGGCTTACCAGTTCTTAATTGTCCATTGTTTCCTAAACTGTATTTTTAATTTCATTTGCTCTCTCCTAGGGAGTGAAGGATGGCAGCACGCCGTGCGTTAAAAGCTGTTTTGGTAGATCTCAATGGCACACTTCACATTGAAGATGCAGCTGTGCCAGGCGCACAGGAAGCTCTTAAAAGGCAAGCTATCCTCCAGGTTCAGATGACAAATATGTTTTTAAGTGCCATTTTACCAAGACAGATCATTAGCTAAATGGATGGCCTTAAGATGGCATTTCACCAGCTTACCATACATACACGAACTGCCTTGGGTTTAGCTAGAAGATGTATGCATTGTAATATCCTCCAAACATTGTTCTCCAAGCCTTTATTAGGTTTGGCCTTTTGCTCTAGTCTCTTTCTCTCTCTCTCCTACTCTCCCCCCTTCTTTCCTCTCTCCTTCCCTATCTCTCTGTCTTTTTTTAAAATCAGTAATCTAAATTTGGGAATGAAAACTCAAAAAACTAAAAAATGATAAAAATAGCATTGGAAAAATTACAAATGAATCCTGGAATCCAAGTGAAATTCATACACATATGCTTAGGCATAATTCTGCCTCCTGCTTCAAAGATCTAATATTGAATTCACAACTGTTAAAAGTAAAGCTTGAAGGGTTGGGGATTTAGCTCAATGCAAGCGCAAGGCCCAGGGTTTGGTCCTCAGCTCTGGGAGGGAAAAAAAAAAAACAGTAAAGCTTGATTGAAGGACTTGAAATTTTAGAAAGATTTCAGTAACTAAATTTAATACTTCCAAAGACTAAAGACTATCTTATGTTTCTTATATTTCTGACTTACCAGCTACAGTACTAAACAAGTCTAGATACAAGCTGAGGATGCACAGTAAAGAGAACTGAGGGATAAGGAAATGGCTCAGTCAGTAAAGTGCTTGCTATGCAAGCATGAGGACCTGAGTTTGATCCCCAACACCACTTAAAGCTAGGCATGGTAGTGTGTGCTTGTAATCTTAGCACTGGGGAGGCTAGACAGGAGACAGAGCCAGGAAGACCTCTGGGGCTCACTGGCCAGCCAGGCTAGCCAAATCTGTAAGCCTCAGGCCAATGAGAGACTTTGTCTCAAATAAAGATAGACAGTGCCTAAGGAATGACACCTAAGGTTGCCCTCTGGCCACATGCATGTACACATGTGTGCACACACATATACACACAATAATGAACTGAATGTGAATTTCTGCTTCTGTGTGTTGTGAAAAAAAATAATAAAACTAATCACTGGTATTAAGTGTCTTCATCCTAAACAAAAATTAGAGGTTTTAAAAATTAGCATTATTTAGCCTTTGGTGCTTATACTTTTCCAACTTGAATATGTTCACTGTGTGCTGTTAATCAGAAGAGGTGACAGATATAACCACTGCAAGGTATTAGGGCAAAAGATTGATATAGACTTCATCCTCTCTCCCAATGGTTACTTTGTTTAGAGAATCAAAACATACAAAAGACTTGTATAGCTGGTACTCGTCATTTGCCAGCTGTGGTTTTCATGTGGAGTCATGATGTTCATTTATAGGGGGAGGAATGATGGACAATGTATTGTTTAAAATTAAAGGGGAAGGAGCCCAAACCAAAAGGGAATTAGATGCATAGCTGGACTTCTATGACTTCCGTTCCTTAACTTGGTCTCTCTGAGTCAGGATGGATGTCCATTGATCAGTGTACTTCTATGGACAGAGCTCTTACTGCTTTCTTGATTGCTTGCTTTCTGCCCTTTGCTTTGTTGTTGCTGTTGTTTGAAACAGGGTCTCATGTATCCCATGTAGACCAGGCTGGCCTTGATCTCACAGATATCTGCCTGCCTCTGCCTCCTGAGTGCTGGGACTAAAGGTATGTGTCACCATGCCTGGCATATAGCCCCTCTTTTTAAAAGAACTGATGTTTACTCCAGCTGCCCTATCAGCCCAATATTCTTTTACTTGCGCTTCTTTGATCTATATTTGAATTATGGATATATTGATGACAATTTCAAAGTTCCTCATCTGAGATTACTGACATCTAATTTCTAGAAGCAGTTTACTTTAGAATCCATTTTAGAATGGATGGTCAACCTTGTACTGCTGATATGTCACTTTTCAAATAATCATTCACAAGCTAACAATCACACTGAGGAATACTATCGATGTGTGGAATATGCCAGTGCTGCATTGAAACAAACATCACTCATTAACAGTAAGACACACATCTTCAACTCCAGACCTCATGTTTAAGATAGAAGCCTGTTGTTAATACCATCATCACTCTGAACTGTCTTGAGTATCATATTCCTTTGGCAGTGTATCAAAACTCATATTTAACAGTGAGTTCTGGGTTGCAAAAGAATGCTTATTTTTGCACCTGTTTGTAAGTCTTTGTCTACAAGTTCAACAAAAACCACATGCCAGTACTGGCTCGTACTGCTTTTAAAATGAGCTTTCTGCTCCAGATTGAAAGAAAAATCTTCCTGTCTCTGCTGAATAGTGACACCTCTGTCAAGCTGTGTGATGGAGGAGCCTGCCATTCTGATGGGCAGGAAGGAGCCTTTACATTGTTCTGTCCTTGCAGTAGCAAGTTCCTGCCAGAGAAATCTGTGCTGGCATGGCCACTTTGGTTTCTATGGAAACAAATAGACAAGGAAAGTTGAGGGACTAGTAAAATGAAAAAAAAATTTTTAACAAATCTCATTAAAACTGATACTGTTAGTAATTGACACTAACACTTAGTCATTTTTAGGATAATAGCTGTGTTGAAATAGTCAATTTCTTTTGTGAGATAAACCACCAAATTCAATGTGTTTTGTAGAAAATCTACCACACAGATGTTATAGAGGTAATCATGATTACAGTGACTTACTTAATCATATAAATTTATTTAATATTCTTTGGGTGAACACTTTAAAAATCTTTGAAGTTTTATTTGTTTGATTGTTTGCTTTAAATTGTGGCTAGTGCTTTTATGCCTTTTGGCCTTTCGGGGCAGGCACAATATAAAATGCAAGAGGCTATTAATAAAGAATTCTAAATTATAGCTAAATTAAAATTGCTTTTAGATTTCAGAGTAAAACACTGTTAAACCAAAGGAAAAATATATTTAAAGAAAGTTAGACTCATTAACTCTTTCTCTGAAATCATGCCAGGTTAGGCAAATCCTAGAACCAAATCAATCTTGTCTGTAAATAGTTCAGGAGGAGACAGGATCTTGCTGTGTAACCCAGTCTGGCCTTGAACTTGCTATGTGGCCCAGGGCAGCCTTAACCTTTCAGTTCTCTTCCAAGCAATGATTATAGATATGAGCTACTGTGTCCAACTAGAAAGTCCATTTTGAGTCATAAAAATGGAATGTTTCTCTGAACTGCCCAAGTAGTTTCTATTTAATAACCAAAGCGACTCACTCGGGCTTAGCCATCTCTGATAACATCTCACTATGAAATATGCTTAATTATCATCTATTTGAGTTACTTGTATTTTGATGTTACTTAGAGCTGTCATAGTCTCTAATTGCATAAAGGTGGGAAGTCACTTACCTCCTTGAGCCTCAGTTTCCCAGAAGTTGCATGAATAGATAATTTTTAACATAGTTTGTCCTTCATATTCTGTGAGTAGAGTGGTATTTCATTGACTAAATTCACAGCAAAGGGCACTTAAAGTACAGAAGGCCCTCACAAAAGGTAGATGTAGCTTTTGGAGGTGAAACACTGTCCTTCATGTATAGATAATTTATAAGCATTCTGAGAAAATTAAAAAATTTTTAAGAACCAACTTTGTCCATAAAAACACTTAGTGATTTATCATCATCTTCTAACATTTGGCATAGTTCTACCGAATTAGGAGATTTTTATGAACCTAGGATATAAGAGCCACCTCTTCACTTCCTGAATTTTACTTTTCCAGGTTACGTGCTACTTCTGTGATAATTAGGTTTGTCACCAATACAACCAAAGAGAGCAAGCAAGACCTATTGGAAAGGTTGAAAAAATTGGAGTTCGATGTCTCTGAAGATGAAATATTCACTTCTCTGACTGCAGCCAGAAATTTAGTAGAGCAGAAACAAGTTAGGCCCATGCTGCTGGTTGACAGTCGTGCGCTACCTGACTTCACAGGTGAGAGAAACTTGGAAGAATTTTGAAATAAGTTCTTCATACCTAGCAATACCTGCAGTCACTCAGATGAGATGTTTATTCACATTTTCCTGGTGTTACTGAGATTTCCACAGTACTGCTAGAACTTGACTCTGAGTTGATGTTTCTCAAATGTTTTTTAACTACCATCTATAAAAGAGAGACCCACTGCATAGTAACTGTGTATGTGTTTATGTGTTAATTAATACTCTCATTTTATGAGATAGGCTTGTATTATTGAGTTGCTTGATTTTCTGATGTTACTTAGAACCTTCCAAAGTAATTTAATAATCTATTAATGAATCATGAGCCACAGAGTTTGTTTGCTTATTTGTTTGTTTGTTTGTTTTTTGAGACGAGGTAGCTCCAGCTGGCCTGGAACTCATTATGTAGACCAGGCTGACCTTGATCGCACAGAGAGTGCTAGGATTAAAAGTGTATGCCACCATGCCTGGAAGCCACAGAATTAAAAACAAAACAAACAAACCAACAAATAAAGTAGAATTATTATTTTGAGTATTACAACTCTCATATTCCCTTAACTTGGTTAAATGAGATCAAGTCCTCCCTAAAAATAGATGCCATTTGAAATACTACATATATCTCATAATAAATGTGAAATATTTTTTAGTGAGGAGAAAATAATTGTTTTCCCTTTGGAAAAAGTAACTATAGAAAAATGGATCAGAATGACTAGCACTTGAATCCAGTGATCAATGTTAATGTCACTAGAAGTGGAATAACCAGAATTCTTATGTTTCATAATGTCATATAGTAAGAAATTCATAACAATGCCCATGAAATAAACTGCCTAAAAGTTGAATATGAAGCAGTAAGATTCTTAATCTAATGAGAGATATGTAGGAAAAGTAGGGGTAAAGGAACAAATTAAATACTACAGACAATCAGCCAAATGAAGAATGTGGAGCCCTCTCCGGGGTTAGTGATCTAATTTACCAACAATGGGTAGGAGTGAACAGACAGACAGAAATATATAAGAAATGACAATCAGCTGGATATGGTGGTGCACTCCTTTGATTCTAGCACTCAGTAGGCAAAGACAGGCGAATCTCTGTAAGTTGGAGGCCACCTTGGTGTACATAAAGAGTGCCAGGGGGCTGGAGAGATGGCTCAGCGGATAAGAACACTAACTGTTCTTACAGAAGACCCGGGTTTGAATCCCAGCACCCACATGGCAGTTAACAACTGTCCATAAATCCAGTTCCAGGGGATCCAACAGTCTCTTATGTCCTCCGCAGGCATTGCACGACATGGGTGCGTTTACCTACATGCAGGCAATTACATGCATACACATAAAAAAGAATTAAAAAAAAAAAAAAGAGTGCCAGGCCAGCTGGGGCTGCATAGTGAGACCCTTGCTCGAAAAAAAAGATATCAAAGGCCTTATAGGGCTTTATTGGGCTGCCAGTTTAACCTTTCATATGTTAAAAGACAATTTGAGATATTTGGAGATACTCAAGTGTGGACTAAGTATTGGATGATATTACAGAATTATTAACGTCTTGGTATACTTATGTGAAGGTTTTAATAGTTTAATTCTTTTTTAAATTAAAAATCCTAAAATATAAAAGTGAAATGACACAATAGTCTGTGATTTGCTATATAAAGACTTCCAAAGCATATGGATAATCCACAGAACTTTTCATCAGACTTGAATCTGTGAAGGTGACTGTGCTTGTTTGTCATATGTGAAGTTCTTTTATGGTACCAAGGCCTTAAAACATGCTTTAATTACTAAATAATATGCATGAAACTAAAAGTAGATTAGGTAATGTGTATAAGCTGTAGAATTCTACACTGAAGTGTTTATACTTCCAAAGTGTACTGGGCAGAATAATCTCTTAACCCTTGAGTTATGGCTGTAGTAAAAATGTACACTTATTGATGATTTATTGTGCAATGTGACAGTTTTAAGTTGTATTTTTAAGCTCTTATATTTTCCCATTGCCAGGAATACAAACAAGTGATCCTAATGCTGTGGTCATAGGACTGGCACCAGAACATTTTCATTATCAGATCCTGAATCAAGCATTCCGGTAAGCTGTTTATTTCATCTGATCGTATATTCTCCTTTCATTCCATCTTTAGACTTTGTCACTTAAGATTTTGTGTTTAAATTTCTAACTACCTAGATTGTACATGAAGATGTACGTCTTCAAAGTCACTTCAGGGTCAACATCAAATAATATTAACTGTCTTAGTTTTTGTGTTGTTAAATTTTTTATTGTTTTTATTTATTTGTATGTATTTCTACATGTATACACATGAAGCATGTGCTACAGTATGTATATGGAGGCCAGAAGAAATTGGTTCTTTCCTTCCACCATGTGGATCCAAGAGGGTTGAACTCAGGGCATCAGGCTTGGTGGCAATACCTTTATCTGCTGAGTCATCCCATCAGCCCTCATTTCCATTTTTGTAATGATCAGGATGTTAATATGTGATGACATTAGTTTTTTTCTTGTTCATAGAATCAATATTCTACAACAGAAATTCATAATAAAACTGCAACTGTAAGGGAGTAGTTTTTTTATTATTACTGCTGTTATTTTCCACTGACAGTGCTAATCTCTGAAAGAAAGTAGCATCAAGCTAATCAACAATAAATATGATTCCCCATCCACTGAGAAACCAGGCTGTGGAAAGGGTTGTGCCGCTGACTGTACTTTCAGAGAAACCCACAATTGAGTGATAATGACGGGCTAGACTGGGATAGTGATGGTAGGTGTGAAAGTGAAGATTCCAGTAGTGTCCACATGGCTTGCCAGATCACTAGGGTGGGACTGAAGAAGAGGGAGTCAAAAGAATGTCCGGATTTCTGGCCTCTGCAAGTAGCAGAGAGCCCTGATGGGCCATAAGTAGAGAAGAGTGGTTGAAGACATTGACCTGTGAGACAACCAAGTAGAGATATTCCAGCGGTATTGGTGGACACAGAACATAGATGTTCTAAGGCCTGTCTGTGTGTGCATCTCACCTGTGTGAACTTGCAGCCACTCCTGGAGGGCAGACCATGTACCTGCTCTCTTCCCAAAATAAGTTGGACAGAGTTTAACCTGCAAATCTGATCAAGAGCAAGATTGTGAGTTTTTCCTTAAAGTTTTCATTTTCTCATCTTACCTTTTTATTTCTTTTTTAAAATTCTCTTTTATTACAAATAGTGTAATTTGCCTTTGCAGATATTACAGGATATATTTAATTAATTTTTTAAAAAATTAATGGTCTGATAGAAGACCAAGGATACAGTTCAGTTGGTGGAGTGCTTGCCTAGCATGCAGAAAGCCCTGAGTTCAATCCCCAGCACCACATCAACCAGATATGGTGGCACACATCTGTAATCCCAGCACTCAGGAGGTGGCATCAGGAGAATCAGAAGTTCACAAAGTTATCCTCAGCTACATAGAGAGTTCAGGGCCAGCCTGGAATACATGAGACTCTGTCTCAAAACAACAACAACAAACAAAAATCATTACTTGGTAGATAGTTGGGGTTTTTTTGTTTGTTTGTTTGTTTTTTGTGTCTTTTGTTTTGTTTTTGAGACAGGATCCCTCTGTAGTTCCAGCTGGCCTGTAATGTGCTATGTAAACCAGGCTGGCTTCCATCTCACTGAGATCCACCTGCCTCTGCCTCCTGAGTGCTAGGATTAAGGTGTGCCCCGCCACACGCAGCAGATGTTTAGTGTTTATCTACAAGAATGCTATTTTTATTTTTTCCTTCCACTACAAGGATCTACAAGAATCACTGTCTGCTTAATGTAGAATTCATTTCTTGATGTATATGCCCTAAAATCAGAAACACTGGACACTTTAATTAAACACAGTAGCAGGTTCACACATCTGTCACATTGTTTGCTGTCAGTTTGAAAAATGGCTGCTCTAGTGTGAAATCTGTATGGGTAGAAATAGCACTTTGAGGATAGCACTTTTTCCTTATGTGCATGGTCATTTAAGTCATTGGTTAATGGAAACCACCACTACTTAATGCACTATCATTTGCAACTCCCTTATTCACCGTGATACTCAAGCCCTTATTTAAAACCCATTTGCTTTAGTTACTGCCTGGACATCCATTGCTATGCCAGATTGCTTTATGGCATACAGTATTAAAATGTCTTATTCTTTACCTACCTTAATTGTCCTGCTTTAGTTTCTTGTGTGCCCTCCGTATGGAATGCCTCCAGCTTTATCAAAGTCAGTGTTCATTTGAATAGAAAACCTGCATTACTTCTTAGCTCCTGTTACCTTGTATGCATTCCTCTGGCCACAGAATTCAAGTAGAAGCTATTGATTGATTTTAGCTGATAATTTGGGAAGGACATATTTAATAGGAAGTTGGAAGGTCTCTGTCTTAAATGAATACTAGACTCAGGGTAATAAAAATGTATGTTGACATAATACTGTCTTTGTAATTGCTCGGATGCTGTCTAATTAGTATACTTTCCTAACCATATTGATTTTTGCAAACACCACATTTTAAAGCATTACAGTGTACTTATAGGTCAACTCTAATTTCACAAATGCACGTAACAGCTGGATGGAGAGTTAACAAGGATTTTAGGTCTCGCCCTTGTTTGCATATTGATGTTTCCACAGAGACTATCCTTCCAACCAGTGACTGCAGCTGTTTGGATTGTATGTATCGCAAATGAACCACCGATTAAATTACTATTCAGGTTGATAATGAGAATAAACATTGGTTGTTAAAGCCTACTGCATAGATGCCTTCATAGACATTATGCATTGGGACAGATGCATCAAATTTTATATTATACTGCCTCATACCTATTGTGTTTTTTAATGAGCTGGCCTCTCTAAAGTGCATGGTACTCATATCCATACATCTTACTTGCTTGAATGAAACTGAGAATGATTTTAAGGATTTGGGGAAAGAATGTAAGCCAGTTATAAAAAATGGATATGATTTGGGTTTGTTTTGTCTAAAACATTCAAATCCTAAGAGCCATTAATACTCCCCCCTTTACTTAATGCTTAATATACAAAGAATATTGCATTTTTTATACCTATCAGCTATCTTAAGAAGTAGAATTTAGGCCCACAAGATGGCTCATCAGGTAAAGGTACTTGCTGCCAAGACTGACAACCTGAGTTCAATCCCCAGGACCCACATAGTGATTGGAAGGAGAGAACTAACTCTTATGAGTTGGCCTCTGACCTCCACATGTGTACCATGACACATACATACACACACACAAATAAATAAATAAATGTTAAAAAAATTAAAAAGTGGGAATTATCAGTACATTTGCTCTCTATAAATATCTTCCCGGTTTTCATCCAGGACCCCTTGGTAATCATTGCAGGCATCAGGATTATGCATTTAGTGTTCTCATTTTCATATATTTCTTTATAGTTTTAATTCATGGAAGTAAGTCTAAGTAATATATTAATTTTTTAATCTTATATAATGCTTATTAGTTTGCTTTCTTTCCTAGAAATACAGGATTCATCAGTATGACTATAGTTCTAGTTTGTTGATTTTTTTTTTTACAACAGTGTTACTAGATTATAGAAGTCTTTTTTAAATTTTATGATCTTAGCCAGGCATGGTGACTCATGAGGCACTCGGAAGGCAAAGGCAGGCAGATCTCTGTGAGTTCAAGGCCAGCCTGGTCTACATAGCAAGTTCCAGGTCAGCTGGGGCTACAGGGAGAGCCTAACTCAAAAAGACAAAAAAATAAAATAAAAATAAAAAATTTATGATCTTAACTAGAAGCTCGAGTATTTAAATATGATGATCACTCTTAGGAAGAAGTCTACATAAGCAAATAGATTGCAATAATAAACTAACCTGAACTTAGTATTAATAAGACTAAAAAATACCCAATCGTGAAAATAGTATGTCTTCATTGAGGAAAATTATAAATGCGCAAAGAAAAACAAACTAAAAATTATCTATTCCTGCCACCTAAATAAAGATAATCATAGCTGTTTTAGCACATACCCAGTTTATTTTTGTGCACATACATGCTTATATGTAAATGAAGATACAAGCCTTGAATAGACTATTATGAACATTTGACTTTTGCAAACCTAATATTAGGTGTATGTTTTCTGTATTAAATATTTTCCTAAAACATGTTTAAGGCTACAATATGTTCCACTTTAAGAAACAGTACATGGTAGCTGGGCATGGTGATGCATACCTTTTATCCTAGCTCTCAGGAGGCAGTGACAGGAGGACTTCTGTGAGTTCCAGGTCAGCCTGGTCTACATAGTAAGGTCCAGGCTAGCCAATGCTACATATTGAAACCCTGTCTCAAAAACTTAAACATGCAGGGAAGCCCAAAATGTTAGGGAAAGCATGGTCTCTAAATTACTCAGAAAAGCAGGCAGACGTAAGGAAGCTGCATGGCTGCTACGGGTGAACTACTGCTCCAGGAGCAGGGATTCTGGGAAGGAAAGGTTTATTAATTCATTAAAGGACTGATCATTCTGCCAGTCTCTTTAGTGTGGTATAAGGGAGCCCACCTTCCTAGGGCTGGTTCTTTGGCTAAGTGATTGACCTGGGTACTGAGATTCTAGTCTCTTGACCAGAAAGGAGCTTTTCCTTAATGGGCCTTTATTGCCTCTCTGGAATTAGGAGATTCTTGTGGTTTCTGTTGAATGGTGAATTGCTTGCGTAGGGACAGATCTTTTTTTAAGAAAAAATAACAGAATTAAGTACTCCAGTGTATTGAATTCTTTAGTCAAGGAAGACAAAGGAAAGGGCTGGAGCGTTGGCTCAGCAGTTAAGAACACTGGTTGTTCTTGTAGAAGACCCGGGTTCAAATCCCAGCACCCACATGGCAGCTAACAACTGTCTGTAACTCCAGTCCCAGGGGATCCAACAGCTCTTCTGTCCTCCTCGGGCATTGCACGACATGGGTGCACTTACCTACATGCAGGCAATACACACATACACAAAAAATAAAAATAATAAACAAATTTTTTTAAAAAGACAAAGGAAGAAAAAGATTAACAGTGATGGCCTCTGTGTTTGTATGTAACTCTTGAATCTTTTGAAGTAATTAGAGTCCTAA